GATTAATTCAATTGCTTCACGAATCGAATGCGACGTTTCGAATATCATGTTTCGTTTCGCCTAATGTATAAATGATAAGTTCTCGATAGTAGGGAAGCATCGCGACAAACCCGAAAGCGCAACGTTTGAATGAAAAATTTATTCGCATAGTGTGTGGAAAAATGAATGTTTTTTTGCACGATACGGCTTTTCACTTCGTAGAAAAGCATTTCGCGCGAAGCGTGAGTAATATCGGCGATGACAGCGCAAAATTGCAATTTTTCCATGCGTGCACGTTCGGACACGTGCCTCTCGGGTTCATCGCATGCAGTCTTACAACACGTATGACGTGTTACGCAAGGTAAGTTTGAACTTTATCTGAAGTTTTTCCTTGCCGCTTCTCTCGTCATCACTTGAGTTTGACGGGAAATTTTCAGGGCATCATCTTACGGGGTGACAGCCATTTCTTCATGTAATAACAAAAGATTGTGGAAATATAGATAAGTACTAGCAGAGCGCACGTCACTCCTAGAACTAGCACCGAAGTCTTTGTTGGACAAGGCTCTACTATCGTTACTGTTTTATCTGAAAAATAGAGATAAATATTCTTTACAATATTACTATAATATTCTCGAGAGAAAGAGAAATTTTTTTTATGCAATTACCGGCTTCGTTGAAGTCTATGCTGGCGTCGTTCTTCAAGAAGTCTGACTGTTTCTCGTCGCCAAAGTCGAGAACAAGAATTTCCTGAGATAACGTCATATCCTCTGCTTTTTCTTCCGTGGCATTCGTGATGCTTCTTCGACGCCTCTTACCCCATGACTCTACCGATTCTCGTCCCCACTCGCAGACAGCCTATAATCAATCAACGTCTCTTCATTTTTCGTCGACGAGATATGTAAATTATTTTTGTTTGTTCAATTACCGGTTCACATGGTCCCAAACAGTACTTGACATTGCATTGGAAGATCACACCGTAAGACTCGGTGAATCTAAATGCCTCATAGATAGATTGAAGTGCGTTTCCATCAGGTGTGAAACTCGGGAAGATTGATGGATCCACCGGACAACTGAAAATTAAATAATTATTTGTTTAACTAATCATCAATTATTGCGACGTCATTTCTTCTTATACACAAATTACGGACCCTTCGTCATCGATAATTTGGAATGTACTTTTTGAATCCTTGGCCATGGCGACGCAACTTCTTGCGAAAATTCCATAAGGAGCTACGAAGATCGAAACAAACGAAGATTAAGATCACGATCGGCGTACGTTCATGCAACAACGATGAACACTCACTGTCTTCCGGGATTTCGATTCTGAACGTTAATTTGTCTCCGATACGGACAGTCTCGACTTCCCTGGATCTGCTGTCAAGAATACGAATTCTTGGTGGAGGGGCTTCCGGCGCACTGGTGATACTTATCATTTCCGGGTCCCTGATAGGCATCATCCCGAATGTAATATTTTTCGAAGACATGTCATAGGTGCACTTCACTTTGTAAATCTTGTCCGCCTTGGTCATCACCACGGAATGATGCTGAAGGACGACCGTGTTCGAGTAGATGCCAGTCTGAAAACCGTCACGCTGCCGTAGTGAATAAAGTGTTTGAACAGGATTCAACGATTCGAACGAATACGTGATCGTACGTAAGTGTGAACATAATATACATATATAATATCAATTACACTTACCACGCTCTGAGTGTTACAGTCTTGCCCGCTCATGGTCAGGTCGAGCCTGAAGAGATCGCTATTAATCACATCGATGTTACAGGTCTCCGAACGGCCGAGAGCATAAATACGGCCATTAAATGGCTTGTTCGTACGAACCTGGACGGCAATTCGCGTATCTTTACAGTCGACGGATACTGCAATCATATTTTACGATCCTTTATTGTCAGGTTCACGATAATAAGGCTTATTTTTTTCGATCAATTAGCAGTACACTCTTTAGCAAATGTCTGTTTAATATATACGCACCGTCGTAACAGGTACCAGTTTTATCGCAGTTTATATCATTCCTCGTGAGGTTATTTATGGTGGGGTCTTCCGTGGTCTCGAAGACGACTGGCGGGTCTGCTAATGGTCCAGTACCCTCTAACGAGCACGAATATATCGAATGACGAGTTCGATTGCATAACGGAAGAAATATAATGGAAATTTAAAATGTTTCTCTTACTTTCGCAATAATTCTCGAAGTAAGTTCCAACTCTTTCCCCATTATCGATCAGTGGTCGTTCTGCATTGAGGTACGTCGAAGGACCATCGGGAAGTGTCCAATGATCCAGATGGAATAGTTGACAATTGTACGCAGATCCTTGAGGAGCGCCACGATAGAGGAAAGATCTACAAAGAAACTCGTTCTCGATCTCGCAAGCCAACCTACATGCGGATTCGCTTTGAACCTGCAGCTCTTTGTCCGTGTAATAGTGTAATCCTGCATATTGAGCAACTTTATCGTCGGCCACGCCGATCCGTGGCATTTGAAAGTTTCTTTGGGATTTGCACGCCTCTTTTCCTGGAAATGACAACTTCTTAAGTAATTTTTTTATATCGAATATTATTCCTTGATGGCGTGTATGAATGTATCTACTGAGCTGTACCTTTCAAACACAGATTTTCGAAATAGTCCACGCCCTGGGCGTCCACGAATTGCACGTACTGGCCAGTCGTCCTTCGATCGGAATCGCTCAAATGACATTGCAAAGTTACGTAGTTGTATTCGACGGAACGGCAGGTGAAACGGTGTTCGTTGAGGCAAGCCGCTAGACAAGCTTCCTTCGTCGACGTGTAGATCAAAGCATTGTCTAGACCGCGAATCATCTTGTTAGGAACACGTTCGAAGGACCATGGCCGCAGACAAACGTTCTCTGAAAAAAGAAAAAGAAAAAAAAGGAGAATGTTGGCGATAGAAGAAAACAGTAAGAACATTTAAATTCCAAGGAGTCTATACAATTCTAACCATTGAATTCTGCTAAAAAAATTCAAACGAAACAGAGAGTTTCACATTTTATTGTCATTGTATGACGATGATTTTTTTATGATATGCAAAATGTTTTTGTTTGTCGAGAAGTAAAACACGTGGCTATGCCTGACCGCAGACACGTTTGCACACCTGACGAAGCATATACAGGCTGCAGAGAATGTTTTCTTATGTAACTCTCGCTTGTGCCACATGAGTTTCATATACCGACACCTGTAACCACACGAGGGAGGATCGATATAGCAACGGAATCTTCTAATTTCGCATCTCCTCGACGGTTGCAACATTTCGAATTTCAAGAATTCTACTAATAAAACGTCTACGTTATAAATAAGATTCCTACGTACATTATTCCATCTGTCTTTCGAAGTGTTTTCTGTAAGTCAAGGTCGTTTCAAGGTTATCCTATTTTAACTCCAAAACGACGATCACGTCCTGTAGTACAGGATGAAACGATGCCAGTGAAATATGATAATTTGTATTCGCCGAGAGGAAAACACGGCTACGTGAAAAACGGGAAGAATGCGAAGTGTATGCTCGCGGCACGGATCGCCGATCGTGGAACAGTTATACTATATCCGGCCGGTCCGAGGAAGTGTGGCGAATTTCTCGGTTGGCGGCCGATCACGCGAGCGTGACGGCCGCGAGACGAGCACGAGTTGAAGCGCGCGAGCGCGCGTCGCCTCAGTGCCAAAATCACGAGTGAACATGTGACTTGGCATATCGAGCAATCTACCACTTCGTGACGCACGACCGCGCGACTTTCAGCCGAGAAACGAGAATACATTTCGTCGAGGAGCGGACGATCGTTCTAATTTCTTTTGTTCCGCCCTCGAAACCGGCGCTAATGTCGACGAACACTGGGAACCGGTGCCAACGAACCGACGTGTCACTCCGACACCGATGATTCACCGCAGTCGTGCGAATTCCTCATCTCGTTTCTCACCACAGAAATACTCCATTCGATATATCAGTCTGATATTTGTTCAATAATAACATTCTCTGAAATGTAATCGTTTCATTTTTTTTAAATGTTTCGTATCTCTTTTCTGATTTATTTATTTGTTTTATTTCCGATCACGTACGCTAATTACATTTATCGATAAATATTTCTTAAGAAAACAGAGAGACGAGTTAAATTCCAACTCTGAATATTGCGATCGGAATCTTTAAAAATACGCTGGCCGTTTGTTCTCAGTCGTGTACTATTTTCGGACGTCTCAAACACGCGAGTGATGGCGGGGACGGAGAAACGGCTCGTAATTTTTATCCACTGGAAATATTTTATGTACAGGTTGAACCGGCGTTGAACTCTATTATGCAAATTCGCTGAAGTAAATTCGTTGTCGTGGGCTGCTTTATTTTCTAGAATTAAATCGTCGAGGCACCGGATAGAACTTGTTGCGTAAAATTTTGCACGAGCCAATTGCTGACGCTCGAGTATCGGGAGGCCGATCGCCCGTGCAAATTCTTAACGTGTTGAGACCTCGATGACGGAGGTCTGTTTCGTCTGTTCCCAGTTATTTTAGGAGAGGAGGGATTTTGAATGGAAGTTGCCAACTGAAAAACGATATCGATGTTAAAGTCGCTTCTCCTTCATTTCGCGACTTCTGTCTTTACAGATTCAAGAAAAACTATGTTAAAAATGAAATTGAATTTTTGTCAGATAAAGATAGACAAGACAATCATTAATCTTTATGTAGGCGAAAAACAAAAATCCGACGAAATAGGAAATAAAAGATTGTTAAGACAATATATTATACAGTAAAATATGCAAAAATGAACCCAACGTGACCCAAAATTTACATGAATATTCGTGTCCTATTCATTTATATTATTAGGAGGGTAAGCGAAAGTGTTCTACGGTCAATCAGGCGTCTGGACGAAAAGCAATCATACTTTTCAAGGAACCTTCCCTAAAGTCCTTTTGTTATCTTTTGAAACATGAGAGGTCAAACCGCGGGTGTTCCCGAAGGTATCCAACGACTCGTAGCTACGAGTTTTACGATCGTACTAAGATAGTTGAAAGGCTCGGAGGTACCAGCAGGCTCGTTAAACCAATATTAAGCGTTTCTTAGGATGTTTTCGACACCTTCGACGAAGGTTCTAACCTGTTTACAGCAGCGACCGTACTTAAAGCATTTTTCACATCGCCTGAAAAATACCAGTAGACTTTTCATTGTTTACTGCCATCCGGACTACCCTCTTTGGCAAATCGTATTTCTTTCTGTCCTTCAGTGAAAATCCGACTGCCTGCGTTTCATAGAGAATGCGGCTTTTGTCTACAGGTCTAGAAGTTTGGTAGCTTCTTCATTTTTTGAATATAATAAGTGATACATGCTTAAATGCTTTGTGCTATTTAAATGTCAGGGAAATTTCACTAAAATTTAGCTTTGCCGAGACTCTTTATTAAAGAAATGGATAGAAATGGAAAGTAATGTAGACTCTTAGCTTTAAAGTTCTTAAATTCTATTTCGTAATTTAGATTACTTTAAATTTTCATTCAAAACATAAGTAGAGTAATAAGATATATATATATATAAACAAACAAAAGCAAAAAAAGAATAAAATAATTTAGTTGAATTTTACATATATTATGAAAATAAATCATTTACGAACTTGAACAAATATGAAAATAATATGGCTCCTTAACAAAAATCATAAAAACTATTTCTTTGATAACATTAGAAATCAAAAGTGAATTGACAAGTTAAATTCTATTTTTTATAAAGATTTATTATTTTTTACTACTGTTTATATTCATTATGTATTTATTATGTAATTCACAAATTTAATTAATTTTATTTAATTTAATTTATTTTATAGAATAATATTCGTTATAAAATATATATATTTATAAAACATATTTATAAAAATATATATAAATGTATATATTGTATCGATTTTATGAAGAGATTCACAAAGAATCTCAATGT